GTTGGTGATGGATTGTGAGGTGGTTGTGGAGGTGGTAGGATGTTGAATGGAGGATGGTGAAATATGTGGAGTGGTGCTTGATCAAATGGGTACCAGGGATCCGAATAAATCCCCATTTGATCAAGGTAGAGGTAGAAGTGGCCAAGGAAGGCCGAATTGTGCTGGCCGCGGATCAAGATGTCCCGGCTGCGGTAGGACACGTGCTGGCTGCGGTTGAAGGCTTTGTGGCCGCGGTTAAATGCTTGCTGGCCGCGGCTGAACCTCCTTTGGCCGTGGTCAGCTCCTTTTCTTTTTTTTTGTTTTTTTAGATGCATACGAAGGCCTGTATAAAATAAGAAAAACAAAACTTTAATAGAGAAAGAAAGCTAAAAAAAGTAAATAAGTACCTAAATGGGTTGCCTTCCATCAAGCGCTTTGGTTTATAGTCCTTAGCTAGACTTTGCAAAGAAGAAGACTTAGTTCAAATAAGATCTTGTCCTGAGACAAGTCCTTTTCGACATCCTTCTGTTCTGTCTTGCAGGTTCTTCATCACTCCAGAGTTCTTCTGGTTCAAATGCCTGGGCTTCATAGAAGGTGTCTTTGTCGATATTTTCAAAAGAAACTCTCCGGTTGGGCCAATCCATGATGGCTCCAACAGTTGCTAAGAAAGGCCATCCAAGGATAATTGGATATGAGTCATCTTTGGTCTTCACTATGTATATTTTGACAGGTGCTATGCAATGTCCAATCCTTAGAGGAATATCTCAGGCTATCCCTCTTGGTATTGCACTTGAATCATCTGTTAAGCTAATCTTTGTCCTGGTACTTGAAATGTGCTTAATGCCAAGTGATGTGGTGTCTGCGTGAGGGTTGTCAAGTTTTACCCTAAATGAAATCAATAGCGGCAAGTGCACAACTGATGCATTGTAGTACTTAGGGATCGAATCCACAGGGAAGGAGGATCTTTCCTGCAAAAGCCTTCCAAAGAAATATAAAGTAAGGAAGTCTAGAACCAGGCGAGTTTTGTGAGGGTTTTGGTGGTGTGTTTAAAACGTAAAAATGAATCTTAAAGAGAAAATACAGAAATTAAAATGACCTAATAACTAAACTTAATAAAAACGAGTAAAAACGAGAAAAACGACTAAATGTAATTGCTTTAATAAAAATCGATTGAAAGAGTAAAGATACTAGACTAAAAGCTTGAATGAAAATCGGTGTAGATCTATAGGAAAGAAAGCGATGGGGTTGAGGAAAGTTTTCTCAGGGGTATTAACGATTCAAAACATTGCTAAAGAGTAAATTTGATAAGATCTTAGCTTAAACTTTTCGAACTGGAGTCACGGACGTATAATTACGCCACTGTCGTGATCATAGACAACTATCTCTCTCAACCCTGACCACTAGGTTTCCTCTCTAGCCCTGGAAGAGAAGAGATGCATTATGTTTAAGACTCGTCAGCATTCACAAATCGCCCATAGGTAGGTTTCCACTCCTATGTTTGTTTTGCTCTCCCAAACTAGATCTGACACCAGATGAACACTTCTCTGTCACCAAGCATCTGGATCATATTGTAGTTCATGACGCTACTCTCATGTAGTAAAAACGAATTCAGAAGAAAAAGTTCTAAGATTCAGCTTCAATAGCTCATGGAATCCTCATCGAACATATGTATCCCCATCGAAAATCCCTTAGACCCAACAATAAAACTACTCAGACATGATGAACGAAATCAAAAATATAATATTAAAAAGTAGAGCAAAAGTCGAAATTGAAAAAGAAAGAACAAGGGTTCAAGAGATAGATCTCTCTCTCCCTAAAACCTAAAAACAAAGCTTAAAGTAAAATTTCTGTAAAGTATTTCGTCTCTCCTCCTCTCTCCTAAAAAACAACCTAAATGATATGTATTTATAGTCTCCAATACTCTCTGGTGTCTAGGGTTCCAGAATTGAGGCTGGGAAAATGATACGGGCTTCAGAAATGGGCCTTCGAACTCGGAGTTAGCTGGGCGCGGTCGGGAAGTGCGTGATCGCGGGGAATGGATGGCTGGCCGCGGTCAGGATGGTTGTGACCGCGGGGAATGGCCTGTTGGCCGCGGGTGGAAACGCTTGCCAGCTGGTTTACGGGACATCTTGCTCTTCGCGTATCTTTTGATTGAACCGTTGGATTGCCAAGCTGTAAAGTGTGCTGGAAAGCTGATACTTCCATCTTTGAGATCTCCAAATTTGAGCTGGATCTGACGGTGAGAAGGCCTTCAATCGGGGGTGAACTTCTGACGGTTTGACTCTGAGCTGATAATCTGATATTCTATCCATTTTGTTAAGCTTTTTCCTAAGTTTCCTGAAAAGAGTCTTGGAACTACAAATACTAGAAAAACGTAATAAAAGTACTTGAAAGCAATAAAAAACATAGAAAAAATATTTCAAATCGAATCATAAAAGTGGTCAAAATACGGAGTTATCAACTCCCCCAGACTTAAACTTTTGTTTGTCCTCAAACAACGCAAAAGTCTAAACTGGTTAAGTGAAACAAAAATAGGGAATGCACAAATCTCAGAGACATGAACTCCTAAACTAGGACCAAAGATCGTGCATCAATCCACAATTAGTCTAAAAAATTTTCACCAAGGCACAAAAGATACTAGTCCACTTTTTCCGTTCTCTACATTCATTAAGTTCAATTGTGAGTTCTCATTAAAGACATTATCCAGGGTAGACGGCGTTTGGCATTAAAGGGCTGTTTAAGTGGTGGAGTTAAAGTGTTTCGAGTTACCTGATGAATCTGGAGGATGCAAGATAATATGCAAAACCGCAATAGAGATAAGCACCTGTCACTTCTTCTTGCCAAATGTTGTTGCATAATCCTTCCTCGTTTGTTGTAAACAGCTATTCTCCCAGACTTAGATTCTTTCCGGGAATCAGAAAATGATCTCCAAAACTCCATAAAATTGAACTTCAGTTGCCTTGGGACTTAAAATTTGACCTCTCTAAACTCTCTAAGGCTTTTATTTCCTTTCCTTTCTTATTTTCAGATTTTTTTTTTTTTTTTTTTTTTGGGAAGGAAATGCCTTTTAAAGAGAGAGAGACTAGAGGACAAGATTGTACCAAAATTTGAGATTTTTCTAAGGCAAACTGAGCTTCCTCTTGTGTTGAATCCTTCCGGGAACTTTTCCGCAAATCGCAGGTCTCTGTTGTGTGAGTCGAAACTCGCACAATCAAAATTTGTTAAGAAAAAAGAGGGATCTAAAGCTTCTAAGTGAAAATCTCTAGAACAAAGATCGAAAAGTAGTTTTATTGCTTAGGGTTTCTGTGATTGCGTAAAAGTTACATAATAAGAGAATTACATCGACTATTTATACTAAATCTACAAACCGCCTAGCCAAGATTCTTTTCCCAAGATTCTCAGAATTTTTCTTTTTCTCTTGTGCGGCTGGTGACTTCGATCATCCTTAGGGTAAATTCCTCTTGGACTCGTTTACTGGATCTTCACGGTTACCCGGCTCGGCCCATCAATGCTTCCTATCTTTTTGCTCGGCCCAATACATTTTGTTTACGGGATTGCTCCTCGATCAAAGTACGCGGGAAGATCTTCCGAACTTGACCTGGCTCGGTTCGGTTCTATTCTCTCCCTGGTTTGGCTCGGTTTAACCGAACCAGCTCTGGTTCAGCTCGGTTCGAGATCCAATCCGGATCGAGCTCGGTTTAATAGCTTCTTTGGTTCGATTCCTCCCACCAAAATCGTGGTCTTGAACTTTTTGAAATCCGATTCCGACACTTGGTCTTTTTTCGAGCAGTTAAACTCGCGAGGGTGAAAACCGACCCCAACAGTTTGCCCCCCAGCTCGTCAGTTTTGTATACAAAGATGTCGAGATTAAATTAACGAAGCCGAGGTTAACTGCCGGATCATACGATAAATCCTCTTGTCGAGGTTTTTGGCTCGGCTCGATTTTTTTTTGTTTTGTTGTTTGTTACGATTTTTTTTGGGCTGTGCCGAGCCAATAGAGCGCTTGACGAGCTGAGGCGAAATTCTGCTCCTGTCTTTGCAGAGCTGAAGCGAAGAGGGTCGAACGTCACCGAGCCGAAGTGAAGAGACGATGCGTATAATGTCGCCAACAAAAAGAGCCGAACGTCGCCGAGTCGAAGTAAAGGAACAAAGCAGCGAATGTCACCGAACTAATTTTTGCCAAGGTGAGAATGGGATTCGGCTAAAGTTGCCGAGCCGATTTGTATTGTCGAGACGAGAATGAAATTCGGCTCATCTCACTGAGGTGTAAACTTGGCTTGATGGATTTTCGTCGCCGAATAACGTTACAACTTGTTTGTCGAGATTCTCTTTTTTTTTTTAAGGGAAACGCAAGTTGACGAATTTTGTCGAAAGAAGGATCTTCATGGCGAAATTCCGAGCCACTTTTACATGTGATTATGCCGAGCTCGGGCTTTTCTTTCGAAAGTAAGACCTTTTCTTTCCTTAGGATTATTTTTTTATTTTTTTATTTTTTTTATGGGTTCGGGCTTGGGCTTTAGTTTCCAAGCCCACTAACTATCGCGGGACCCACATCCAAACTTCTTTATATAGGCGAGCTCCCCTCTTAATTTTTCACAATCTCTTCACTTCTCCAAAACCTCATAAGGTACTCTCTCTTCTCTCTCTCTTTCGCCTTTCTCGATTTTTTTTAGCTCTCTTTCTCTTTTTTTTTTTGAGCCGCCGCCCCACCTGAGGTTTTACTCAGGGTGCGGTGAATTGTTTTTTTTTATGCTTCCGATTGGTTTGCCGATCTCCCGATCCATCGCTAAATTTCCCGATCCTCCTCCTATAATTTCCTGTTCTTTCTCCCGCCAATCTTCCATAACCTGAGATGTCAGAAAAGAGCGAGCCGAGATCTCCTGCCGATTCTGCGAGTTCCGTTTCACGCCGAGATTCGTCGGATCTTGGACCGAGTCCACTTTTGGGTTTGGCTTCCCGAGATGCCGAATCGATTATCTTGTCTGATAGTGTGAAACCCGAGACGGGAACTTGAAACCGTGATGGCAAAGTCTGGGGTAGGTCCCTCGAAGCCTCAAAGCTCCCGAAAGGTTAAAAAGAAGAAACCGGATCCGCCTGGTTCGTCTTTTTCGACCGAGGAATCGCTACAGAAGCTAAGGCAGTGTTGCAGAATTTCCGAGGCGGTCGAATTCGTTGCGCCCGAACCCTTCGATCGTGCCAATGAGCCTCCACTGAACCATTTCACAACCTACGAGTGCTTTTTCGAGTTATGTTATCTGTGGTTCCCTGTACCCGAGCCGGTTTTGCGATATCTTTGGCTGCATGGGATCTCGTTGGGGCAGATCATGCCACGGGGTCTTTGGCATATAATCGGTATTTTGGTTCGAGGCGACGAATGCGGTATCGATATTGGGGTTAACCATTTTCGTAATTTTTTGGAGATCCGACGATCTTTGAAACCGGGAAGATATTACATCTCGAACAAGAGATATTGGAGGATAATCGGGGGATTTCCGAGCAAAGATAATTCTTGGGACGATTATTTTTTCTACGTTCATGTGGACGAGACTTCTGTTGGGAATGACTTCCTTAATTTAATCATGACGGATTGGGGACCACTTGGTAGTTTGCTCGTAGTTTTTGGCTCGCTTTGTTTTTAGTTCCGATACTAACGTTTTCTTATGCCTTCTCTCTTTTCTTTTATGTTTGCAGTTTGCGATCCGCTCCCGCCGGTTCCCGAAGACATCGCTCAGACTAAAGAATACTCGCTGCCCATAAAGTTGATTGGACGAAGCATTTCTCGTTCGGGAGAGTCGAGAAAGCGAGAGCGTTACTTGCCGGAGCCCCTGTTACTTCGGATTCTTCTACTTCGTCGGACGACACAATCGGGAGAATGGTGCGTTTATCTATCCGCGACAAAAAGGAGTGAGCCGACAAGGAACAGGCAAGCCAAGCCCCAGAGAAGGAGATGTCGGCCGTCCAGGCTGAGCCGACCCCTTCGCGCTTAACGAGGTGAATGCCGAAAGTGCGGGCGAAGTTCCTAAAGCCGTTAGAACAAACCCAACTGATGCCGATGTTTCGGGGAAGACTCCCGAGATACCCTCATATGGAAAGGGTGCCACCGGATCGTCCGAGGTCCACGCGTCTGGTAGCAAGGGTCGCGTCGTCGTCTTGGGTTTAGCGAGCCGATCGAGACCTTCTGCTTCCGTCCTGACGAAGCACAAAGGCGGCTCGACTCGGAAACGTTCTTCCTCGGAAGGTGACAAGGAAAAAGATAGTGTCGCGCCAAAGAAAAGGCGCACAATACTGATAGACGGAGAAATCGCTCCTTCCGTCGTCGATGATGCTTTCGCTTCGGCAACTCTCCTATCGAAGATCAACAACAAAGGGGTTTGGCTACCGCACATGGATTCGATTATAAAAGCGAAGTCTTACGCGAGTATGTTGCAGTGAGGCACCAAGGTAATTTTCCGAAACTTTAGCTCGTTTTGTTTAAATATCGGCTCGCGTTTCACACTTGCGTTTGTCTCTTTTTGCAGTTTTTGGCTTCCATAAACGAGACGATCTCGGGATACGAAGCTGACGCTCGCAAGGATCAACGACGAATTGATGAGGCGAGGAAGGACGCTGTCATGCTTCAGACAAAATTGGATGAGGCCGAGCGGAAATTTTCCTTTGCCATGGCTCAGGCTAAAGCTCGGATCAAAGCTCTCGAGACGGAGAAGAAGGCGTTGAAGGACGAGTGTGTTAAGGCCACCGATATGGCTGTTCGTCTCGAGGAATCAAGAGCTAAGAAGGATGTCGATATTGCTTCTTTGCAAAGGCAATTGACCGAGAAAAACTGTCTTCACGAGGCGAACATCAAGAGAGCTGTGAAATCTGCAAGGAGGGATCTGATCAAGAAGATGCGAGGCCGTCTCAGCAGCGCGGAGAAGAACCTCAAAGATTTGGCCGATACGAAAGAAAACGAGTTGGATCTTGCGCAGATTGACGGCAACCTACAGCTCATCGAGCTCCTCAAGAAGGACGACGTTCCAACTCTTGACGCCGAAGCGGAGAAGCTGAAACAGTGGTGAGCCGACTTGGTGGGAGCCGACGACGGGTTCGAGAGGATCGCTACTTGCCTTAGAGGCGAGCTAACCTTTTTCCGAGGATTCGGTTGGAGCTAACCTCGGGAATGAATCGGTGGAGGCTGTTGCGCAGTTAGTTGGTGTGTCCGAGCCGACGGGCTCCAATATCGGGACACTGCGAGTCGCCGAGCTTGTCGAAGAAAGGAGGAGTTCTGGCAGGTCTCCAAGAGAGTGATTTCCACGCTTGATGTCGTGCATTGTTTTCCTTTATTTTTGCTTTAGAGTTTGTTGCCTGGATGGCTTTATCCGCTTATGCTACTTTTGAACTATGTTCTGTTGGTTTTGTTTCTTTTGCCGAGCCGAGGTGCTTGGAATGACTTATGCCTTGACGGCAGATGATATCGGTTTTAGGACTTATTGCATTGCTTGATCCTTGCGTTTATTTATGATTTCTCGATCGTATAGTTTCTACTCTCAGAACTCGTAGTATATAATCACTGTCAATGAAAACGGCTCGGTGTTGCTTCCGAGATATTGATAACCGATGTGTATCGGGTTTAAGTGTTTAGGATTTGCGATGTGTATCGGCTTACGCATCCGTAAACTATTGGGGGATCGATCGGAAAATTTATATAGCGCGCTGTTATCCTGTGAAGGATGTCATTGAACCCTAGTCCATAGAGGAGAAGTGGTTAAAATTCGTTTAGAGAATTTGTTTTTAGTTTATCTGTTGTGGCCAGCAATGAGATAGAAAATGCGGATATGAGATGTATGCTGAATGTTATAAAGAAAATGCTGAAGAACATTAACTTAAGTTGCGAAAGAAATCAGATGAGTGGCAAATCTATATATATATATTTTTTTAAAAAGGTAATTTCACAGAAATCCGAAGAAAATCGTAAAATGATTCTTGTAAATGTAAAAGGGAAGTATGGAAGTATGACGTATACGTACCCACTCCCCCTCCCCCTCCCCCCCCCCCCCCGTTTTAAGAGGGGGGACAGCTGAACCCATCCGAAGATAGGCTGCCTACGTACCCTTTTCAGGGATCAAGCCGTCTCGTAGTTCAGGGTTGTCGGTTGATGCTGCCTAATGATAACATTTCTTCAGATGCATCGCATTCCAGGATCTCGGGATTGGGGCTCTTTCCATGCTTTCTAGTTCGTAAACTCCGGGTCGGATTACCTTGGTAATTTTATAAGGTCCTTCCCAATTTGCCCCCAGCTTTCCTGCGTTTCTTTCCGCGGTGTTCTGAAACACCTACCGTAGTACCAAGTCGTCTTCTTTGAATCGTCGACTTCGGACATTCTTGTTGTAATACCTCGCCGTTGCCTGTTGATAGTTTTGAAGTCTTATCAATGCATGATCGCGACGTTCGTTCACTAAGTCCAGCTCGTCTAACATCATCAGATGATTTAAGCCTTCTTGCCCGGTGAGAAGTCTTCGGCGAATTCCATGGTAATCTACTTCGGGCGGAATAACGCACTCTGCTCCGTAAACCAGAGCAAACAGGGTCTCTCCTGTAGCTCATCTCGGGGTTGTTCGGTGAGACCATAACACTCCTTCTAACTCGTCCGCCCATCATCCTTTTTTAGCATCGAGCCATTTCTTCAGTCCGTCAAGAATCGTCTTATTAGCTGTTTCGGCTTGACCATTTCCTTGTGGATATCTCGGTGTCGACTTGCTCAATCGTATTTTCTATTTCTCACAAAAAGCTTCAAACCGAGCCGAGATGAATTGGGATCCGTTGTCTGTAACAATCTCGTAAGGGAGTCCATGTCGACAGATGATATTCTTCCAGACGAAATATTCAACTTGGGCGTCTTTGATACACGCATACGAATCGGCTTCGACCCACTTAGAAAAATAATCGGTCATAACCAATAAGAATCGTTTCTGTTTAGACTTGTGCAAGGGTCCGACGATGTCCATTGACCACCTCATAAACGGGTAAGGAGCCGAGATTGACCATAGCAGTTCGGTAGGCTGACGTATGGTTGGGGCGTGCCTCTGGCATATCTCACACTTGACGGAGAACTTCTCGCAGTCTTTCACCATGGTTGGCCAGTAGTAACCATGTCGCTTTATCTTGATTGCTAAAGATCTTCCGCTTGCATGGTTGCCGCATGCGCCACTGTGAACTTCTTCCATGATCTTCCTTGTTTCGGCTTCTTCGACACATGTGAGTAATGGTCCCAAAAATTACCACTTGAAGATGTTTCCGTCCAGGAGTATATAACGAGCTGCTTGAGCTTTGAGTTTCCGAGCTGCCCATTTTTCCGATGGTACTTCTCCGTCTGCGATGTATGTCCGAATTGCTCCTATCCATTCCCTATCGCTTCCATATTCTGTTATTTCTCGGGAAGCATCTTCGTCCATGTCGGCTACGCCGTTATCTTCGTCGATCTCTTGCTTTTCTTCGGGAGGGTTGATCAGGTTGACTCCATCTACGACGCCGATGCTGGCTTTCTCGATAAACTCCACTGGTATAACTCTCTTCAGTCCTGGATCCGAGGTCGAGGCAAGAGCGGCTAGGGCATCAGCGGATGCATTTTCCCCCGAGGTATTCGCGTAAGTTCAAATTCTTTGAACTGCTTTGTCAACTCCTGAACTACTTTCAGATATGCTTCCATCCTGCCGTCTCTCGCTTCGTATTCCCCGTTGAACTGGTTTGCGACGAGCTGTGAGTTGCAGGATACTTCGTAGTGGCAGAGTAGCGAGGATTACAATCGAGTGCGATTGAAAGTATGGTCTCAATTTCCGAGCCGACATCACGACAGCTAGGGCGACCTTCTCCATTTGCGGATAGCGTGTCTCTGCCTCGGTTAAACTGCGGCTTACGTAAAAGACGGGTTTCTGCTCTCCCCGCTCTTCCCTGACCAGTACTCCACTTACTGCAGTTGATGACACCACGATATACAGGTACAACGGTTCTCCTTCCACTGGCTTTGCGAGGACCGGCGGATTCGCCAGGTAGACTTTTAGGTCTTGGAATGCTTTTTCACACCGTTCGTCCCATTCAAATTTCTTATTGCCTCTAAGGGTATCGTAAAATGGCAGACACTTATCGGTCGACCTGGAAACAAAGCGGTTGAGAGCTGCTACGCGTCCTGTCAATCTTTGTACTTCTCGTTTCGTTCTTGGAGACGCCATTTCCATCAGCGCATTGATTTGTTTTGGATTCGCTTCGACTCCTCGATGAGTTACGAGGTATCCGAGGAACTCGCCAGACGTCACCGCGAATCGACACTTTGCTGGATTCAGCTTCATGTTGTGTAGGTTCAGCTGCTCGAAACAGTCTTGCAAATGCTTCACGTGATCTTTCTCCTCGAGTAACTTAACCAACATGTCATCAATATAAACTTCCATCGTCTTGCCGAGCTGTTCTGCAAACATTTTGTTGACGAGCCTCTTGTAGGCCGCGCCCGCATTCTTAAGCCCAAAAGGCATCACCTTGTAGCAGTAAATTCTCCAATATGTTATGAATGCCGTTTTTTCCCTGTCGTCGTGGTTCATGAATATCTGGTTGTACCCCGAAAAAGCGTCCATAAATGTGAGCAGTTTGTTCCCCGCCGTGGCTTCTACTAGTCGATTGATATGAGGTAGCGGGAAACTGTCCTTCGGGCACGCCTTATTGAGATCGGTGAAATCTATGCACACGCGTCATTTACCGTTTTTCTTCTTTACTACTACGGGATTAGTGAGCAAATCTGGGTATTTGGCCTCAGAATCGAACCCACCTTTAGAAGTCGCTCTACTTCGTCGTTTACTGCCTTGGCTCGGTCGGGACCTAGCTTTCTCCTCTCCTGCTTCACTGGTTTGAACGTCGGGTCCACGTTGAGCTCATGGCACGCTACATCGATGTTGATTCCCGGCATGTCTTCCGCACTCCATGAAAATGTTCTAACATTCTGTTTTAAGAAAGCGACAATCTCCGCTTTGATCGCCTCGTCGAGTGTTGCTCCGATTTCTACACACCGCTCCGGATGTAGTTCATCTATGCACACCGAGATCACCGGATCACAGCTCGGCGCGCTCTTCTCCTCACGCGCCTCACCGATCTGTAATTGCTATAAAAGCTTGGCGAGCTCGTTCGCAGGTTCTCGGTTCGTCTTTAGTTTTTTCTGTTCTCATCTGCAACGGAGTCTACTACGGGCTTCCTCATCTTGCTCGGCTAGGAAGCACATGCGCGACTCCTTTTGGTTTCCCCATATCGTCTTGATTCCGCCAGGAGTCGAGAACTTGACACATAAATGGTAGGTTGATGGAACGGCTCGGATTGAGTTCAACCACGGTGTTCCCATGATCACATTGTAAATCGCCGGATGGTCAGCTACGGAAAAATCCACGACTTTTGTTACTCCTCCTGCTTGCACGGGAAGCCGGATCGTCCCGATCGTCATCGTTGTTTCCCCTGAGAATCCTGTCAGTGGCTTCGGGATAGCGGTTACTTCGGACAGATCGATTTCCATCCTTATAAGGGTTTCGCGGAAGATGACGTCTACCGAGCTTCCCGTTTCGATCAGGATTCTGGGGACATCGTGGTCTCTAATAGTAAGCTCGATTACGAGGGGATCACTATGTGGCGCATCAATTCCCACAGTTTCGTCTACCGAAAACGAAATTGTGGTAGCAGGGTAGCTCAGGGGCTCCGCCCAGTTGACACTTGCATCGGCTCTCCTTTGGAAAGCTTTAATCGATGATACGGTGTCGAGACAGTATTGTGATCCTCCCATTATCATATTGATCCTTCTTCTGGGGCTATCTCGCAGATCCTCATTATTCCTCCTTCCTCGCTTCTCGTCCTCGGGCTCCTTGGTAGCTTTGGTTTATTCGTGCTCTCCTGCTGCTCGCTTTGCGGCGAGTCTGGCTGCCAAGAACCGACAATTTACCGTTGAGTGCCCGTAACATTGGTGGTGTTCACAGAATGCCTTTTCATCGTAAATTCGGGGGTTCCGAGTCCAAGTATTCCATGGTCCTTTGCCTCGCCCTGCTTCCACTTGATAATTGTGGGCTCCTCGTAGCCTCGGCCCTTCATGGTGCACATAGTCATTATTCCTCACGTTTCTTTGACGCGTCGTCAGAGAATTTTGGATCGCCGCTTTTGTCGACTCGTACGGCTCGTCTAGGTTCTTCATCTCTTCTTCATTCACGACAAAGTCGGCAGAGCGATGTAGGGCATCTTGGATCGTGAGCAGCGTGTTCAACGCCATTTCTCTTCGGAACTCAGACTTATACCATAGTGATCTCTTTAGGGCTTCCAGGGCTGCCTTATCGCTCACTCCTTCTACCTTTGACACCACCGCTTTGAACCGATCCACGTAAGCTCTCAATGGCTCGTTTGGTCCTTGAGACAAATTCCATAAATCGGCATCGGAGGTTCCTCGATCGATGAACATTGAGTACTGTTTCAGAAAAACGGCAGACAATTGCTGAAAGTTGTTAATGGAGTTACGCTCGAGCCTCGAGAACCACTCCAATGCTGTACCCTTCAGGTGTTTGACAAAGATGAGATAGAAACCGGCATCTCTTTCGTCTTTGCTGAGATTGGGGGCGGATCTCGAGAAGGCTCGTCCCATTCCGATCCGAAAAGCTGTGATGTGTGCCTTCGGGTCGGTTGTCCCTTCGTAAAAGGGGATTCTTATATTTCCTGGTTCAGGAATCCGAGCTTTGGTAATTCGAGCCGTGAATGGCGTGCGCTGCGTTTCTTCCAACATTCGATCTATCTCTGGTGCCGCAGGGATTGCATGATGGACTTGATACTGCCCCCATTTAGAGCGGCTCGGCGTGCGTTACCACATTGACTCCCTTTTCGCGCCGAGCTATCTTGTTTCGTTTGCTCGACCCAGAGCAAGTTTTCCTCTTCTTCCGTCAGGTTTTGGTGTCGGAGCACAGCGTCATCTTCTCCGTTTGCCCTTGCTCCTTCCAACGCTTCTTCGAGTTCGGCTCGGGTAATACGTTCTGAAACACGGCCTGATCGAAGAGCGAGCTCCTCTCCCTGGTCGTCTTCGTCATCGACAGTGATCGTCTCCTCACCGATATCTTCTGCGACCTCAACATTGTTCTTCTTGGCGTGTTTCTCGCCGTTCGCTCTTCCTCTCCGAGCTAGCAGAGGTGGTTCAGTCTGTGTAGGCTTCTTCACCGCGGGTGTCACCAAGTCGGACGAATTTTGCTGCACCCCTCCGAGCCTGTTTGCGGGCATCGCAAACTCGAGGGCGGTTGGTCGCAGACCAAACCTTCGCATGACATCTTCGGAAGTTCCCGTCACTCCGAGGCGTTGATTCCTGATTCGGTTCTCTGTTGTCAACCCTTCGAGTCTCTTCACGAAGGAGCTGTTCTGCTTTTCCTGCATGTTAAACCTTTCCATCATTGCTTCGAGCATCTTTTTCACCTCGTCCAAGGGTTCGGCTGTCGCGCCTGCATCCGTCGGAGGAGGATTCTCCTTGTTTCCGGTAGGATCCCCGCCGTTGTTTTGGTCGTCTCTTCGCTCGTCTCCGGACATCTTTTCGGATCTCGTTCAAGAAAGTTTTCGGTGTAAGAAAGCTTTATTTCCCCACAGACGGCCAAATTGTGTGAGTCGAAACTCGCACAATCAAAATTTGTTAAGAAAAAAGAGAGATCTAAAGCTTCTATGTGAAAATCTCAAGAACAAATATTGCGTAAAAGTTACATAATAAGAGAATTACATCGACTATTTATACTAAATCTACAAACCGCCTAGCCAAGATTCTTTCCCGAGGTTCTCAGAATTTTCCCTTTTCTCTTGTGCGGCTGGCGACTTCGATCATCCTTAGGGTAAATTCCTCTTGGACTCGTTTACTGGATCTTTGCGGTTACCTGGCTCGGCCCATCAATGCTTCCTATCCTTTGGCTCGGCCCAATACATTTTGTTTATGGGATTGCTCCTCGATCGAAGTACGCGGGAAGATCTTCCGAACTTGACCCGGCTCGGTTCGGTTCTATTCTCTCCCTGGTTTGGCTCGGTTTAACTGAACCAGCTCTGGTTCGGCTCGGTTCGAGATCCAATCTGGATCGAGCTCGGTTTAATAGCTTCTTTGGTTCGATTCCTCCCACCAAAATCGTGGTCTTGAACTTTTCGAAACCCGATCCCGACACTTGGTCTTTTTTCGAGTAGTGAAACTCGCGAAGGTGAAAACCGACCCCAACATCTGTCTTTGGTGACTGAAGACTGCGTCTTTCCTCTTTCTCTCCAACTTTTTTACACTTATCTGCATATAAGATAATAGAAAACAAGAGTGCATGTGGTTTGAAAGAGGATTGGTTAAGGTGGGGAACTAGCTAAAGATGAACTAGCCATTCAGGATCAACAGAGAGTGGTAAAAGGATAAAGGAGTCTTGAATGTATGATTCGTTTCCCTGGTCTAATGCTTCAATGAGAATTTTAAATCCAAGTTAAGTCCACATAAAACAGAGCTAGTGTATTCCTTCATCTAAATCGAAATCATTCAAATTCTGGGTACTTCGTTTCAAATCTGCTTAGCTACCGCCTAGTCTAGTCCTAAATCGTGAATGAGCATGTCACTAGGAACAGTCTAAAAGCACACAGTCAACTATCATTGATTCATGTTCACCATTCCCTTTCAAACGTATTTTTTTTTTTTTGAAAAACAGTTTTGAAAAACTTTAAGGAAAATGCAAAAAGTGTAGATAATGCAACACTCATGAAAGAAAAGTGGTTAGAAAGGGATGAAATCCTCCCCCAGACTTAATTCAGACTGTCCTCAGTGTGAAACAAGTCGAGATTGAATGAGAAAAATGCATAGATAATCGAATTGGTAAAGCCAAAGAGAACTTACCTGGATCCGGGATGCTGGTGGTGATGGACCGGATTCATTCGAAGAGGTTTGGGAAGGTGATAGGTGGTGATGAAGGTGGTGGGAAGTGATGAATGAGGTGGAATGGGGATTGGTGAGGTGGAATGAGGTGAAGTAGGTCATTTGGGTCGGGTTTCGTCTCAACGACCATCTACCGCGGTTAGGAGTCATGCGACCACGGTGAAATGGTGTCTGGCTGCGGTCAGAAAGACGCGGCCGCGGTCGAGGATCTGTTTCCCGCGGTCAGAACGTCTGCGACCGCGGGGGCTTATATCGCGGCCTGTTCCCTGCTTCTCCTTGGTTCCTGCTGGCCCGAGCAGTCAAGGACGATCCTTCTTTTTGGTTTTTTCTTTTTTGGTTTTTTGATTTTTTTTGGCTTTTTTTATTTATGAGAAACATCTGAAACTAAGAAAAGAAAAAGATTAATCGAAAAAGAAAGAAAAATCCTAAAGAAGACAATACCTAAATGGATTGCCTCCCATTAAGTACTTCTGGTTTAAGTCGTTTAGCTCGAATTTTGGTGTTGGATGTGGCTTATTCCAATGAAGAAGATCTTGTCCTGGGACAAGTCTTTTTCGACATCTCCTTGCTTTGCCTAGCAGGTTCTTCGTCACTCCAAAGTTCTTCTTCAAACTCTTCTGTTGCAGAACGTTTTCCTGCTTTGCTGTTTTTTGGGACAGCTTCTGTGAAGACATCTTTGTCGATATTAGCAAACGGAAATCCTCTGGTTTGGCCAGTCCATTATAGCTCCGGAAGTTGCTAGAAAAGACCATGCGAGAATCACTGGATGTGTTGCGTCTCTCGTTCCGACAATGTAGAAGTCGACAGGCACGATGCAATCTCCTATTCTCAAAGGAATGTCATAAGCTATTCCTTGAGGTGTTGCATTGGAATCATCAGCTAGACTAATCTTTGCTCTAGTCCTGCGCATGTGTTTAATACCAAGTCTCAAAGCAATTGCCTTGGACATCATGTTAAGACAAGCTCCAGAATCACAAAGCACGTTTTTAAACATTTCACCTCTAATAGAACAAGAGATGAGAAACTGACCTGTAGTCTTGACCTTATGGAGATTTCGAACTTGCCTTTCTCTGTAAGTGTTGGCTGGTGTCTCAAACGCAGAATATGACTCACAAAAGAAAGATGCAGCATCGTATTCAATGATTGAATCGATGTATGACATCTTTATTATGCTGCATATCGGGTCTTCTTAGATTGAAGAGTCAGCCGAATCTTCAACACATTCCTTTGCCATCATACAAGGTAATAATTCCTGCCAATCTGTTTCTTCATCTGAAACTTGGTTCTCTTCTTCCTGAGTTGCTTTTTTAGGTGCTGGAGGTTGAAGTTGGGACAGAAGATGTATTATTTTTCTTTCAAATCCTGGAGGTGAATCTGAATGACCAATTCCCGCGGTCAGAGGCATCGCGACCGCGGGAAAAGGAGCCTTGGCCACGGTCGGAACAGTCAGACCCGCGGCTCCGGATATGATTTCCTCATAGTCCGCTTCTTCCTTCTTGTACTTGATATGAACCTCTCCAGCTTCTTTATTTGGTAGACCAGCATCACATAAACTCACACCAGGGCGTTGTTGTGCATCTTCATCAGGATCTTTGGAAGATTTCTTAGAAAATCTCACAAATTGCTCAATGTTGGGCATCTGTTCCATTCTTGCATCAATCTCCCGTGCCTTGAGCTCGAGTTTTTTCAGCATGTGCTTGATCTCCTGCAACTCTTCTTCTGTCTTCTCTGTATACCAGGAGGCGGATTCTCTGACTTCTTTGATCTCCTGCTTCGATTCGACAATATCACTTGAGTTTTGTATGATGTCATACCCTTGTCTTGTCTGCTCTGTTGCGACTTGGTGGATCATCCCAGCTAGTGTTTGTGCGTCCTTGTGGGTTTGTTCTTCCAGAACTCGAACATGATTGGCCAGTTCATCGAATTTTCTGTTGAACTCTTAGAGATTAAATCAATTCTCTTGAGCAGGGTGTTTTCGGTAAGAATCTGCTGATCAAGGAACTGGTTTATCATTCCTTCAAGGCGTCCCAAACGTCTGCTGATCCTCAAGTTGTCCTCTTGCTGATTAAGGTTCTGCGGTGGAGGATTATAGGCGTGTGGCTCGAAGTAGGTCGGAGGAGGACCATAAGGATCCTCCTGGCGTTGAACAAGCTCTCTGCGCTGGTGGTATGGATAATTTGGCTGGCTGTATCGATCCATGTAGCTAAGATCTCGGGGTTGGAGGAGTGTTGTAAAAACCTCCCTCATAGTAGGGATTTTGATTTATAGGATCCATTGCTTCTCGAATGAAAACAAAATAACCGACAAATGGAAATATGCTGAAAAAGGGGTTTTAGAGTCGATTTACCAACCTTTCTTAGGGTTTTGCGGAAAAGAAAACACGTGCCTTCCCCGGCAACGGCGCCAAAAACTTGATGTGGTAGGGTTGTCAAGTTTTACCCTAAATGAAATCAATAGCCGCAAGTGCACAGCTGATCGATTGTAGTACTTAGGGATCAAATCCACAGGGAAGGAGGATCTTTCCTGCAAAAGCCTTCGAAAGAAAGGAAGTCTAGAACCAGGCGAGTTTTGAAAGGGTTTTGGTGGTGTGTTTAAATCGTAAAAACGAATCTTAAAGAGAAAATACGGAAATTAAAATGACCTAATAACTAAACTTAATGAAAACGAGTAAAAACGAGAAAAACGGATAAACGTAATTGCTTTAATAAAAATCGATTAAAAGAGTGAAAATACTAGACTAAAAGCTTGAATGAAAATCGGTGTAAATCTATAGAAAATAAAGCGCTGGGGTTCAGGGAAGTTTTCTCAGGGGTATGAACGACTCAAAATATTGCTAGAGAGTAAATTGGATAAGATCTTAG